CGCCCACTACACCACTGACTACAACTACAAAAAGCATCGGTTTGTTTTCTCATCAGGAAATGCAGACCGGCTCAAACAAACTATTTTTAAATCATCATCCTCACGATCATTTAATGTGTCATATGTTTGCCGAATTGACATGAAAGCACTAATACATGTAGTGTAATCAACTTGAGTTTACAACTACAAAAATAATCGATTTGTTTTTATATCACATCCGACGGGAGGAAATTCAGCAGCTCTCACTACCGATTTTTAATCCTAATTTAATCATCATCTTCACCACGATCATTTGTGTTTATGTTCGCCGAATTGACATGAAAGCACTGACAAATATGAATATACTGTAGTCAACTTCATTAAAACGTTATTAACGTGCCTAAACTCAGTAATTCACCATTTCTACGCATGACAACACACTTTGTCCGTGTTTGGCTCTCTCGCCGCACAGTGAAGCGTTCCCGCATTGACGTCACTTCCGGCTTCCCCCAAAACTTCAAAATGAGTCGAAGGAATTTCCCCGCGATGTTCGAAATGATTGATATTTATCGGAACGGTATCGCACCTTCTTTTTTAAACTAACGGTTCGAGATGACTAGTAGTCCAATATTTCCTTGCACAACAGTTGTTGGGATGCTGTCACAGGCTCTTTAAGTGTTTCCTTATATGTTTGAAACTCTCTGTTTAGGTTTTGGCCGCCTCCGATTATGATGCTGTTCTGTGTATCGGTAAACTCTTAAACAGTGGAAAAGATTGTAAAAGCTATATCTGACCACACTGTTTGAGAAATAACACCTGAGTAGTAACCAGTGAATACTTTTCCTACAAATCATATGACGGGTGTATAAGATGCAAGGATTTTTTAAAGATAAAACTGCACAAAAGGATATCAAATGTAAGTCTAATCACAGAAAATGCATCTACCTCCAACTAGAGTTTTCAAACATTAGCTAACATTTGCCACCATCACCTTGTGGACATACCAGATCAAGTAAAGTTATAGCAGCCAAACCCTAGATGAGTATTGAATAGAGAGAGAGTGTGTTTTATTGCTTTGAGTTCAAACTTCATAAAAGTGAGGATACCTTCTTGAATTGTGGGAAATAAAGCCCTATGCAGAGTATGTGGTTACGAGATCATTTCATTATCTCCCTGTATTCATAATCTAAATACGTTTGGGTGTTTTTAACATGTGCGGAGTAACAGAAGAATTATCACTTGCCTATTAAAGATTAGCACTCCCCGGGCCACTGCCTTGTTTACCTCTAGTTACAAGCTCTGTAATCTGTGATGAAACATGAGTCATTAGGGGTGACCGGTGTCAGGGAAAGATGATCAGGACAGTAGCCCCGGATGACTCGAATACTTTCCACCATCATGTTAGGGTTCTCTCTCCCCTTTTTAGAGCTGTAGTAGGTGCAAGTATTTGGGTAGGAAGCAGAAGAGGAAGAGGAGTTACAGAAAACAAAGATCTGAGCAGAAAGGAATATAACTTAATTACTTCTGATAGCTATGTCGGACAAAAAGACCGGCCAAATAAATCTATCCACCAACAAGAAGATGAAGAAGCTGCGCACCATTAGCGTTGTGTGCAGCCTGACAGGAAGCTTGCAGCAGTGGGTGACGGAGAACGAGAACAAGCAGGCCGGAGAATGTGTCTCAAAGAAACCTCATCCCGTCATCCAGCCAACAGAAGCTTTGCCACAGCATGAAACTACTTCTGGAGAACTCAAAAGACTACTCACAAGGATGCCAAATATTCATCCAAAACTGAGGAGGTGAACACCACAGCTGAGGCGCTATCTCGCATCAAGGTGAAGCCAGTGGTGAAAACAGTGACCAGCGGGATTCAGGAGAAACATTACATTACATTTACTCTCAAATCTTAAAGGTCAGATGAAATGGTATTTACATCCCTCATGCTATTTTTCCTTAAGAAACTGAATATTGACATGAGAAGGTCAAGTGTCAATTTAAAGTGTAAACCACATGGCTTGATTGGTAGGATGGGAAGAAAGGCAGGACCGTGGAAATATTTGTGTTGACTTTATCACTTTACCATGTGTGCACCATAAGGTCACAGATTAGACTGAAAGTATTCCAGGAAGTAGCCGTTTTCTCAAAAAATCAAATAAAGATTTAAATTAATATATATTAGTTTTTTCGTATCAAACTGCAGTTTATTTGGAAAGGCAGGCAACATGGTCTTGAGAATGGGAACTCATGGAGAGATTCTTGAAGGAACTATTTTTTGGGATTTGTACAGTCATCATTCTGGTTTGTACTCTACCCTGAATGCATCTCATGTTCAAGTCATTTGAAAACATGTCAATTAGGTCAACATTATAACTTTATAAAGCAGGGAACAGGACAAGATGTTAGTATCCAAACTGTGGTTTCTGTTTCAAGTGTGAGCAGTATTGACCAATCACTTTTGAGAACTCTTTGGTTGTATGGAGAGCAAATGCGCATTTGCGGAAATGGAATCTCGGAACCCATTGGCTATTGCGCATTACAGGAATTCTTGTCCCTGATTATCCATCGTAACACTGGGATCCAAAAGCCGAAGAGTTCCCATATTGTATTCGTATTGACCTTTAAGACCTTTTTTTCCTCCTATTGGCTATTTCAACTCCCTTTGCCTTTTGTTGGTCCAAAATATACTGTGTTGTGTTTAATATACTCTGACATCCGACACAGGTACAAGAAGGAAGATCCAACAAGGAAGATCCAACAAGATCAACTCCCTCTCCAAGAAATATAGTGCTGTGGGAAACCTCAAGAGCCGCTGGCAGAACTGGGCTTCAGAGCAAACCATTAACCAGAAACTGAACCCCTTCAGTGAATATTTTGATCATGATTACTCCATGTCCCTCCGCCTCCAAGGAGGGTACCAAAACTGCAGAGAGAGCCAAACGTGCCGAGCATCACATCCACGGTGAAATATCTGATATGTGTTATGTGATCAGGACTATGGCTGATCCGGATCCAGACGGAAAGACCCGTGTCACGTTTGGACAGCTGTTTGACAGATATGTTCGGATCTCTGATAAGGTGGTGGCGATATGAGAGCCAGGAAGCACGGGAAGGTGGCGTGTGAAGGGGAGAGGCTGTGGCAAGGCCAGGATGAGAGAGTTATAATTTATCTGATGGTGTGTGGTCAACACCTGGGTCAAAATATAGTCGTGGAAATCCTCTTACAGTTACTCGTATAATAACATCAGTCCTTATTAAGCAGGGCTGAGAGGAGGATTTATAAGACAATTTGACCTAGGTCTATTCAGTGGATGCTGGCAAAACAGTATCAAAGGAATGATTGAGACCTCAGAGCTTGGCGGATGAGTCAGATAATCAAGAATATCTTTCTGATATCTTTAAAGACTTTTTTGTTGAGTTACTGCTGTCATGGATATGTTTGAGATATATGCAATTTTTTATGTTCTACCTGTTGGCTGCTTAAGTTTCCATTGATTTTCATTTGGGTCTCCATTGCACTTTCTTTATTGCTTATGTTGAAGAGATACTTGATATGCATCTGGATTAATGTACCAAATATCCAGCAGCTTTGCAGTACAGTGCAGGACAGTAATCCAAACACGGATTGGGTTTCATTGCCTTAATACCTGCAGCTCAGCAGCCATTAAACTGTACCGGGCACAATGCAGTGAAACAGAGGAGACCACAGCACTTTTAAACATCCTGCCCTATTAGACTGAGTCTGTAATGACTAATGTAAAGGGTGACTGTGACTGTCTGGGGAAAACAGGAACACTTTCTCATCTGGTTATTAAGGTTGGTATAATATAAGAATTAACATACAGAACATTTATATTTTTATATATTTATAACTGCTCATATGAATTTTAAATATTTAACCACATCTTGTCAGAGCATCACATTGTACATTTTGTCAGATTTCACATTATTTTAAATACTTTATTATATATATATTTCTAAGTGCATTTACAGTATTCTGCAATAATACATTAATTGAATGTCTCTGGATCATTGAATGGTGAATCATAGCTTGAAAGGTTATGAGGTTTCTCAAGATCATTCGTGAGTGAAGACAGGTAGGTGGATAACAAAATAGAATTCCATTAGGTGGTGTTGTCACACATGTTATCTTGAGTAACTCAGAACATTTCCTATAAGATAACAGACAACATTTATCGGAATTGACGACGCCTTTGTTCACGTTAGGGGACAGATTACATCTCGTTTTCTGCAGGAATGGGACACCTGTGGGGTTGCAGTATGAGCTTTTTTTTATTGACAAAAGTTGTGCAATTTAGGAAAAATAAGTAAACAAATTAAACATCTTCATATTATTAGTTTCACATGTTAGTTTATAAGGCTGGGAAAAAGGAGGACGTAAATAGTCCTCTAGCCAAAAGTGTATGCAATTTAAAATCATTTCTTTTAGGGTTTTCATATAGAATATATCTATTGTTATGCCCTATATATAAAAATAACATAATATTGTTATGCCATATGTTATTGTGCATGCAACATCCATTGAAAGAGCCACCTTTAACATGGGCGATGTTGATTTTCCTTTTTTATTCATGATCCAAAACAAAACAAGAGCATACTTGGCACATATCATATTTAAACCTAGATTATGAAGGATTTTGTAACCTGACGAAGCGCCAACAAAAATACCCACCCACCTCCCTCCCTGTCTGATACATCATAACTCGGCAAGGACCAATAAACTGTTCAGGCTTTGTTTCTGAATGCAGTTGCACTATAAATGATCGTATCCACTCCAAATTTAGACATTAGGAGAGTGTAGCTGCACACATGCTGAGGCTTCATTTGCTGTAATGCACACTTGAACGGCAAGTATCATTTTTTGAATTCCACTCATCACTAACCAAATGTATTATGTAAGTAAAGAAGAATGACTGAACATATGTATTTATATTTCTGTATTTTCGGCTACAGGTATTTTTTGATAATAGAAGAAACAACAAATCAGACAGGTGAGACTCCGTCTATAGTCAATAATAATTATTAACAACGAGATGCAGGGTAAATAACTCTTCTCTTTCTTTTCAGAATGCTTTTTCTTGCTATCTTCGCTGTAATTGCAGCCTCTGCTATAGCTGACCGTAAGTTTCCATGAATGCATTATCCTTTATGAATCAAATTTATAAGGATAATTCATGTTCATAATATGTTTGTCTGTCTCCTTGTCGCAGCTGAGACTCAGAGCTATTCCTACTCCCCTCCTGCGGGGTCAGGGAGTGGCTCTCCGTTCAGTATAATTGGGGAGGGAAGAATCACAGCTGTACGAGTGTGGGAGTCGTCCAACATACGAGGGTAAATGTTATAGATCATTATTTTGATATTATTAAATTAAGAGTAATGTAACACTGGTCAAAAGTCACACTTTTACCAAGTGCCATATTGAAGTAATCATCACATTGATGCATCAATAACTTAAAAACGATCAATGTATATAATTCTGAAATGGAACATACTGCATAATGAGTATTTTTACCTGTGCTACTTTAAGTATGTTTTGACGACGATGCTTTTTTTTCTACTTTTACCTGAGTATGACTTTGATTGCAGGACTTTCAACTGAGCATTGTTACATTTCATTCATCAGCATCCAGTTCCGCTACGGCTTCACCTGGTCTTCCGTTGTGGGTCACAGGTCCGGCCAGCTACAGGAGATGGAGTTGTCTGACAATGAAGCCATCATTCAGATTTCTGGGAAGGCCAGTCACTACGTGCAGTCAGTGGTGATCGTAACTAGCAAGGGCCGCCATCTTGAAGCAGGCCAGCCCTCAGGCACTTCCTTCAACATGTATCCCAGCCACAAGGGTGCCGAGCTGATCTTCATCAGTGGCACTAACCATGGAGCAATGACCTCCATCGCAGCACACTGGGGTCGAGTTGATACATCTGCTACTGACACTGAGCACTGAGAAGTAGAGCTTGCCTGAGGCGATTCTATTTAACCAACAACTTGTTCAAACCTATGTGGGAAAATTATGGTTTATTTCCGAATGTAATTCATCTGTTCTGCGGTGCAACATTTTAACATTTCAAATCTGCACATTTGCACTTTTGCTTGTGACTGTATGGGTTGAGGCTTGATGAAATGTAACTTTGATTTAAATGCTATGCCGATTTATTTTCGGCATAGCATTTGTTCACATCATGCTCTTGTCATTGTTGGAAAAATGTATTAGTTAATAATAAAAAAAGATCTCTCTACTTGAAAGCTGCTGACATATTGTGTTTTTCAATACTCATAATACTTATTTAGGATAAATGCAGTTAAAGTGGCTTCAGATCAGGAAACACACAACTTATCTCTGAACGTTTTTAACAGGAATTGTCTATACCGCTTGAAGGAACAGTGGGACATTTTAAAACATGCATTCATCCAATTTCTTCATCCAGAGGGTTAAATTTGAAGATTGATACTACAACTCTCTGCCCATGCATGTAGAGCTGGGTTGATCTGATGATTAGCTTAGCATAAAGGCAGAGGGAACGAGATAGCATGCAAACACATGATTATAAGTCATGCTTTAGATATTTCTTAGCTGGGTGCAGTGACTCCCTTGAGATTCTGCTCAACAAGACTTTTTGAAATGGCCAAGATAAACATATTTGCTATAGTTATAAAATAGTTGCATGACTTCAAATATAACTTGATGATGGCATGCTATCTCTTCATCAATCAAGACTTCAGTTCCAACACTGCCACCCTTCAAAATATAAAACGTCTTAAAGACGATTGATCATCATTATTATTCTTATAAAATTTGACAGAATTACACTGTGACATAATGGTATATTATAAGAATATGCCATTTGGATGGTCACTGTGCTCACTGTCTGCAATAAAAAAGGTATAAATATATATATTTATTTTTCTCTTTAAAAAACTATTTTCAGACACACACACACACACACACACACACACACACACACACACAACACACACACAAACACACACACATACTTTCTATGTAAATCAATCAAAGTCAGAAAACCCCTCAGACAGGCTGAGCAGAGCTTTAAAAAAACAAAACAGAAACCAGGAAGAACATAGATGTATTACCGACTAACACACCTGCCGGTAGGCTTAAGTGCACAAGAAATGTGGCAACACAATAGACTCCTGCATACCTTCATTATCTGTTTATCAGATCAAATACATGCAATCACAACTATAACAGTTGTGTTTTCCCTGCAACACCTGTGATGCAAGTCTTAGGGAATATTTTATCGATTGCTAACCTGCAAACGCTTCTTCCTCATACTCACTCACACTCTCACTTCAATGTAATTGCATTATGACCTAAATGCATTTAGTTTGTTTTTGGTAAAGCCCATATATGTGCTGACCTTCAGTGTGAGCAACATCGCACATAGACAGATAACACACACAATAATAAAATCAACTGACAGGAAGCTGCATGTTTAATTAAAGTTTGTTTCCTTTTCTTCTAAAGAAGATTTACAACCTCTACTGCAGCTGTCAGTTTGATGACCTGGTATTTATTGTATGCACATTAAGATGTAGTCATTGTAAAAAAGAAGCAACATTTTGTGTTGTTTGCAGCCCCCTTGCTGTTCATCAACAAATCTTAATATGCATTCGGGAACTTCCAGATAATGGCAGACAGGTCTTATGACGTTACACTATGCCCTGTAGATAAATACTTGAAGCAAGATAAAAACCCTTTGATAAGCAAGCTGTAGAGTTTATGGGAGGTGATTTAATGTTTCCTTCAACATAGCCAGCATAGCTGTTTCCTATTTCCCCCACCTGTTCCCAGTCTTTGTGCTAAGCTATGCTAATCAGTTGTTGACTCACACTGCACAAACACAGTTGCATAGGTCTTCTATTACAGCTCTTATTTTCCAAGATGTTGAACTAGAACATTAAGTGGTAGTTTTCTTACACTGTCTGGCTAGAATATGATCCAGATCTGGTGATATTCTGGTTTCTATATTTCGGCTGGTTTCCCAAATAACCTGCTTAAATTAACCTACTAGTATCAAAACGGCGTTCATGTCCATGCTATTTGCTTGCCTTTTGCTCACATAGAGACATTTTGTGTGCTTTATTGTGAGGATTTTCCATTAGTGTGTCTTTGTGTGAGGGATACAGAAAGATGTGCTTCCAAACTGTTCTGCCTTCAAAACTGATGAAGCTTGCTTTCCCTCAAATCCCAGAAAGCGCTGCGCCTCCACTTCCCAGGATGCTTTGAGGCGCGGCGGCGGCAGCAGCTGTGTGTGCTCCGGCTTGCCCGCAGCAAAGTGAATATAACACGCCAAACAAGGTACAATGCGAGAGCGTTCACTTTTACATTTCTCTGTGGAGTAGCAGCGCTATGGCTGTCGAAGGTAAGACTGCTTCACCTTGTCCTTTCTACGACACCACTTCCGTTTTCTGTTCGTTTGAAACAGACAAACAGGTGTAGTTACCGTGATAATTAGCAGCTGTTTTACGGTGTAACACGGCTCAACACAGACACCGTAGGTTCACCTGTGCTGTGCACGCCTGTGTTTAGGTTATGTTGCAGCCGCATTACGAACATTGTCTTCTCCTTTTATTACACTGTACAATTGAAATGATAAACCGCTGGTATTCACTCTAATGGTGCACCATAAAACCTAGTGTTAACGCGCAGCCTCTTTCTTTTATATTGTTGAGTGTGTGTGCGCGCTGGTCGTAAGTGTTGGAGACAAACACCAATGGTTAACATGTCTGTGACCGAGGAGCGTGCACTTCTTTTGCCTAATCATCTCTGGCCGCGCCGTGCACACTGTTCTCTGGAAGATACTGAAGCCCCTGGAGCGTCTTTATGATCATTTGTCTTATAGATAATAATCGTGCGCTCAGCTTGTTCCACCACAAGACCAGTCCGGTTGAGGCTGCTCCTCTGGCAGCAGGTGGTGTGCCCGTGATGGTCAGTAACTCGCTCCAGACAGTATAGGTGGGAAAAGTGACTCGGGATGCTCGGTCAATCTCCTCACCTTATCGGGGGCATTTTGTGGATCAAGAATCCAATGAGAGGTATGTTGGAAGGGGTGTCAAATGCATGGAGGGGGACTTTAACTCTCAAAAGGTTTTCCAGTCCAGTGTGTTTGCCCATGCAGGTATGATTGGTATGACACTGTGGCACTCCTGCATACCTACCCTAAAGCTGGTTATTCATCTCTGACTGCCATGACAGGACTTTTTAATACACATTTCACACATTGTTGGATGCTGTTTGACCTGAACCTGGTCCTGAGATGTAGAATAGTGAGCTGTCATGTTTGCCAGGAGATATTTATGTTCTGGAGATTAAAGCAGAAAGCAGAACAATATGGTTGCATCACTTGTGTTTTCCCCCTTTGAGGACCCAAAAATAGACTTGTGAAAGTGCTTAACTCCGGTTTGCTGATTTTTATTCCAGGGTCCCTCCCTCATCATGATCAATATTTTACCTGAGAACCACCTGAAAGCCTCACAAGCTCCCCTGGAGGTCTAATGTTTTTAGCTTGTTTGTAGTCTTGACTTACAGGTGTAGAAGAGATTGCCACCTGTTTCAAAGCTGGAAGTGGTCTATAATGAAATAATACAGCGAGCACAACAGCAGCAGCTATAAAACTGCCATCCTTCAGCAGCATTTCCCTTTGTATAGTTTCATTAATGCGTCTCTTGAGAATCTTCTTTCAAAGCAGTAAAGAGGAAGGCTGGTGCTGAGGCTGCTTGCAGATGCACATTTTGTTCCAGAGCTGAATAGACATGTCTTCGTTCCTTTCTCGTCTTTATACCGAGGCTAACACCGTTGAATAGACACAGTGGCTTAGTATTTTAACAATATTTGTTTTGGACATAATAACTGTTAATGAACACTTGATTGTCGACAACCACATATGGTACGGCTGTTTTCGTCTTTTCTCACTATTTTTTATAAATTCACAGCCATTGCTGTAACATAGGCCTGCATCGAATGATTATCTTGATTAACCATTCATTTGACGGGTATTTTTCTCTATTAATTGCTTGGTCAGAAAATTGTTAAAAATGTCTTCCCCACTTTTTTTTGTCAAAAGACCAAGCATTTTGACTATTATGATGGAGAAAAGCAGGAAACTTCTTATTTGAGAAGCTGAAATCGCTGTGTTCCGACATTTTTCGATAAAAAAAAACTAACCTTAAAGAGCAACTTCCAGGTTAAAGACACTTTTGAATAAATGTGTAGGAAAATTATGAATACACTAGAATTTTCAAAAAAAGTATACAGAAATATACACTACAGTGACATCTGGCGTCGTTTTTGTAAGAAATGTTCACTTGAGCTGTGGTGTGAGGAGAACCAGTGGAGAACTGGGCAGCTATCTTGGTGAGTGACCGGCGTTAGCTACAGAATGTTAGCTAACGTCGCATCACAACATTGTGAAGTTAGCTATCATATATCAGGCTATAACTAAAGTAGCATTGATAATATAGTAACGTTACTGGCAGGACTGTTGATACTGATCCATAACAGAAACGAAACTAACGCGCAAGCATCAGCCGTATCTCGCGTTACCTAATGCAACTCCACACTACGGTGCTGTGTACCGGAGGGGAGACGCGAGATACGGCTGATACTTGAGGATCTGGCGGAGAAAGGTTGTGGAGCCTCCGTTGATATGCCGTTGTAAATGGCTTGATGGAAAGCAGGTGTGTAGTCGGGGAGGGTGCACAGCTGATTGCAGCAGGTGAGTGGAGGTTGAGCCGGGATCCAGGAGTGACAGCCACCACGCACACACAAACAACACAGACAGGGGGAAACAAACAAACACAAAGGAGACGGCTGGAGCAGTACAGCCACCACAGCGTTACCTAATGCAACTCTACACTATGTCTTACGGTGCCGTGTACCGGAGGGGAGAGAGAGAGCAGCGAAGGGGGGGGGAGAGAGATGTAATACGTTTTCCTGATAAAGCTGTGGAGAGTATGTGCTGCAGGGAGGTGGATGCACAACGCACCCAGGAACGAACGCTAGCTCCGGTCCTTTTTACTGTGGACTCGATGTCCTGACAGGCTGGTATTTGTGCAACCTGCACAAACACAATACTGCACCATGATTACAAATGGTGAAATACAATGTAAAACTACAGAAAAATAACAGCTCCTTAAAACACAACCGCTCAACTCAACGCAACT